CCCCAAAACCCCAAAACCCCAAAACCCCAAAACCCCAAAACCCCAAAACCCCAAAACCCCATAAAAAAATATTTAAATTGAGAGGTATTAATTATGCTATGGATATTAGAGGCTTATCCAAAGAATTCTTTCCAAACCCTTATGACTGATTCAATGAGGTTTGGGGCCTCTTCAGCTCGAAGTTCAGTGCTTTCGGTGCCAAAGCTTCAGTGTTCCTCTTCTGTGGCTCCTCCTTTACTTGTGACTTGTTGATGGTGTTCGTGATGTTGTTGAAAGCCTCTCTGTTTTTGCCATTGAAAGCCAGACAGGACTTCTTCAAAAACGAAAATGGACTCTTGGTGTTCTCGTCGTCGACCAAATCGTGAGAGAACAGGTTGCTGTTCAGGTCTTGGTCAGGAATGTCTTCTTTGTACAGTTTGGCACCCGAAGCGCTGTACTTGAGTTCTTTGTTGTTGAGAGTCGGACTTCTTCTGTGAGGAGTCTTCTCGGCGCTGATGCTGAACACCAGCTTATCATCTTTAGACTTGAAGTCGTCTGCAGGGTCTTTGTTGTTGAGAGCTTGGCTTGGTGACAACAAGTGAGGATACATCATTTCTCTGCTACTGTTCTTCGAGTCGCTGTTGTGCTTCGACCGCAGTGGAGTAAATGCTGATGGGCTGATTCGCTCTAAGAAGTCTGGCTCAAGCTCGTGTGCATTGTGAGGGTTCTTGGCTGGAGTTCTGGACGGAATCAAAGGAGTTTTGCCACCGCACCCTGGACATGTTCCGACCGGAGGCAGCCTGAATATTGGAGGGTAGAACTGGTGGTGCCTGTCTTTGGTGTATTTGCGGTCGAGCTTCATCACCACTGGGCTCGCATTCTCTCCGTAGTACAACGAACTATTGTATCCATTGTTGTAAGCATTATTGTGAGAAAAATGGTAAGGGTTGTAGCCAGGCATTCTGCTTGATGGGACCACATAGAACGTGCCATGAGGGTCGAAAGGGTACCCTCTGTAGTCGTAGTGTTCAGGCCCAAATGTTCGCTTGTCGATGTTCCCAAGCTTTGACAGGATCGGTGGAGTGTCCAACAATGACTCTTTGGTTTTCTTGTACATGAGCTTATTTGTGACGCTTTGTCTCATGCTTGTCATGTCTATCATGCCTGTCATGCCTGTCATGTCTGTGATATCCATTGTGTTCAGAGTGCTCTTTTTCAGTTTCATAGCCTTTGTGCTCTTCTTTGTAACCGTATGGTGGCTTGAACGAACTCACGTATCTGTAGCCTCCAAGCTTGGCCTTTCTCTGGTCGTGTCTCTGATCATGTCTCTGTCTGTTTCTGTCGTTGAGGCTCTTAACGCTAACTTTATTTAGACTTGATGCTGACTTCGTTTGCGGAAGGAGTGATCTTGACTGTTATTCAAACTTCGTTTGCTTCGACGAGTTGAGCCTGAGCTCCTTTGACGCCTCTGAGTCTGTCAGACGGCATCCAGAACTTGTTGGAGGCTCTCTGTGTGCGTTTATCTACGCTGCCACTTCAGTTGTCAGAAGACTCGTTGGCATATCCAAGCGAGAACTCATTGACTCGCCCGCTGACGTGGTTGCCAGACGTATCAGGCGTGTCATGCTCGTACTCCTGCTCATACTCACGCTGGTCGTAGTCGTCAACTCGGTTTGGAGTATTCGCGTTCTGATCGAAGATCGGAAACGGAATCCTCGAGTTGCTGGTCGTGAGTTTGTTCTTTCTGTACTCTTGGTGCATGCTCGAGTGGGAAGGACCTGTGGTCTTCATGTGGGTGTCTCTCGGTGGCCTGTAGTTCATCGGAGTTCTCGACCTTGAGTTTCTCTTGTAGTTGTTGGCATCGTACTCGCTCTGGTAGTAGTCATCGTCATCTTGCTCGTTGTGATGCTTGACATCTCCAGCAAGATTGCTGGGGTTCTTCATGTAGTTGTTGTGGATCTTCTCGATCAAAGTGTCGATGTTGGATCCTTCAGTTTTTCTGCGTTGCTCGAGCGACTCAGCTTTGCGTGGGAAGTAGGCTTTGTTGAACTTCTTGACTGACTCAACATACTCTGCAAGCAGGTTCTGCTCGCTACTGTCAATTTCGTTGATGAATGTTTCTTCCATGTCTTTGTTTTCTTTGATGATGTCTTCGATGCTCTGGTTTCAGTCTGGTGGGACCAGCTTCTTTGTGACAAGGTTTTCAAAAATATGTTGGTTGAGTCTTTTCTTCATATCAAGGACTTTATTTTTGCATCGAAGAGTTCCAGTGGTTCTTGATTGAGTTATCAGTTCTCCCTTCAAGGACTTTGGCGATCTCAGCCCATTTATTTCCAAGCTTTCTGTGCTGCAAATACAAAATCCATTCTTCATCTTCACTCCAAGCAATCTTTTTGATTTTGGGGTTGAGGTGGTTATGCCAGCGCTCTCGGCATTGCTTTCCGATTCTACCAGGCAAATATTCAGCGATCTGAGTCCACTTTTGAGGGCCATTCTTTTCAACAAGGAGGAGGACGAGTTCATCTTCTTCAGGAGTCCATGGGCCTTTGATTAAGTTAGGATTTAATACTTTCTGCCACCTATGCAGACATTGAACATCAGTCCTCCCATGTAAGCATTCAGCAATTTTCTTCCAATTTTTACCTTCATATTTGAGAACTGCTGTTTTCAAAAGAGCGTCTTCTTCTTTGGTCCAATGTCCTTTGGTGGTCCTTCGGATACTTCCTGTTCTTCTCCTAGCATCAATAAAGGAGGTAGCATTCATTCTTGACTTGTTATAGTTGCTGAGGGATCCTTCTTCACTGTTTTCACAATCATCGAATTGATATGCTGCTCCAAAACTGAGATTATGGCTGAGTATGGGAAGTTTCTTCTTGTCTAAACACAAAATTTCAAAATTTAGAATTGGAGGTGAAAAGCTTTTACACAAATAAATTTTATTTAAATGCATTTTCTTACCTTTAGTATCTTCACTCATTGTGATGTCTTTACGGAAGTCAGAGACGAATTCATTTACATATGGCTCTTTCTTATTCACTCCTAAGACAGGGTTAATCGAGATTCTTACTTTTGTCTTCATTAGGAAGTTTAAACTCACTGTCATCATGCTTGTTCATTTCTTCATCCTTTTCATGTGAGAAAATGAGATTTTCTTCACTTTTGTAGATATGAGACTTCTTTGGCTGCCTTCCACGACCCCTTCTTCTTAGGCCATAGGTGTTTCTTGGCAAATCTGCGCTTGAAGGAGTTTTAATTCACTCTGAGTTTTCTTTGTTGCTCTCAGCTGCAGATACCTTAGAAGCAGACTGTGGAATAGTTATTTCCTTAATTATATCCGTTTGGTGCTTTCCTTACCCTGAGTTTCATCTTCACTGATTTCTTCCTTGATAGATTTTTCATAAGAATTTTTAATATTTCTTTTTCTGAGATAGACACCAGACTTGGTGACAGACCCCTTCTTCGAAATGGGGGTGGGCATGTTGTTCTCTTTATTAGCTTGGAGGTCGTCATTACTATCTTCTTCTTTAATTTTCTGTCTCTTTCTGGTCCTTCCTGAGCCTTTGGAAGCCCCAGTAGGTTTCTTCAGAGTGTGTTTAGCTTCTTTGAAAGAAGTTTTTGGCCTGATTATCCTCTTACTTCCATTTCGAGTGACTGGAAGATGAGTCGTACCTTTGGGTGTCTCCTTTCCGGTATTCTTAGCACTCGAAGAAGCATTTTGTTTCTAGAATATTTATTATTAGAGTTATACCGCAGCCCTCTTCTCTTTCATTTTCTTCATAAAGTTTTAGATTTTAAATAAATTAACTGAAAATTATTTTGATTGTGATTTATTAATTCAATAATTAGGTTCATAAAAGGGGTTTTGGGGTTTTGGGGTTTTGGGGTTTTGGGGTTTTGGGG